AATATTTATTAGTAGATTGCAGTTCATAGGCTAAACATGTTTTTTAAACTTAGACTCTCCTTTGGAGATGCACAGGTCTGATTTTGAAACCATAGCTTCAGCTTCTGAAGATTTCTATAAGAGACAACTTTAAACTAGAATATCGTCTGACGATGCCCCACCAGTATCACCATCTGTCAGTCAAGTAAAATAGTTGTATGAACGCACGTTTAGATAGCTTTGAAACTAGAGTTGCCCCGTGCCAATTAGCATGAACACAGAGAAATGAGAATAGGTACAACAAGACTGAACTTAAATTAACCAAGTTTTACAAGCTTCCACCCTGGTGAGATTGACGATATGTATGTTTTATGTATAAAGCGAGTGGAAATGTTTATGCGATAGCTTCACTGTATTGGATTTGGTCAGTTTAGTCGCGAATCAAATAATATCATTCTTCCATTGTATCGCCCGTCGCCACAATATGGATCACGTGGTTTAAGTTCACCAGCTTTTAACGCGTTGCTGGTGTAATCAAACCACTACAAAGTAATGCTTTTCAATTGCAAGGATCTGGTGTGTTGGACAAAACAGGTAACGTGGTGTCAAAAAACTCACCCGCTTTTTTATGGTGGCTGCCGGTCTTCTGATCCAGAATGGTACGTAGATACGTCGATACAACCACATGGGACATCGGGCTTCAAGAGTTTCTAGCCAGTAGACTTGTTGGGCAATTAGCTGCTGTGTGGCAGAACGACGAACTTTGTCAATGTCACCGACTGCTAGTCCAATCTGGTTGGAAAGTACAGAAGAAAACAGGAGATATTCTGGCTCTTTGGAAAATCGTTAGGATTGTAAAGTTGATAAAACAAATGGAACATCATATATCTACTGTCATAAAAGCTATCTGAACATGTGCCTGCTGTAGGATAAGCCACCTTAGATAAAAACATTTGATCAGCCTTGAATTTTCCCACCACATTTACATAGCTTTTATGAGACAATTTCTGGAATCAGATCCTATTGGATTTCTGAATTTGATCTATATTCGCTTTCCCCGAAGCAGTACACATGGCAATCTACAGGGATTCACACAGACTATATGACCCACATGTACCTCTAAAAGGTCGTTCAACCAGAGAATAACCGGCGGCGGATTCGAAGGGCATGAGTCAGCGGCCAGTTTTGTCGCCAACCTAGAGTAGTCGATCAAACAGAACTGGCCGTGAGTGGTCAGGTAAAAAAATATGGATTGGCAGTGAAGAAATCTTTCAGCTTTAACAACCTTCCTGTGCCCAGCTATCACGCCACCCGACGGAAGCACGAGGGCTGGGATATAGTCAGGCCGCCCAAGCCTAGACAGAAGTCGAAATATAGAGGTCGAGCTCGAACCACGAACCTTCCGGTTGGTAAATTCGTGCTCTAACCACTGAGCCATCTCCGCTTTGACTGCCAATCAGCTACTTTTGGTCTATCAGCAATTATTTCCCTATATCCCCGACTGACACTACTCAGCACCATAAACTGGTTGAGATCGCGGCCATATTCCTGAAATCAGTTGGCTAGCTTCTTTTAACCAGAAACCCAAGTCTTCTTGTATCAGACAGCTGTCATTTTTGGTAGTGTTGGAATATTGGGAGCTCCGGTGCATTAGTTGGTAGTAGATCAGGTGACTGTTGATCTCTTCGTACCTACAGTCGCTCGTTCGCCATCTTTACGCATTCGCCACTTGACTCAGGGGAATCCTGAAGCAAAGAGGTATAATTCAGAGTTTTTGCGCATTCTCAGGGAAGTGTTACTTCTGTGAAGTTTTATTGCTCCGCCTTGTTTGGAGAGGACTTGTGTAGCTGTGTAGGTGGATACGTAGTATGCGTCTGCGGTCTCCAGCAAAACTGCATACATACGAACCAGATATGCGTCATTTGTCAGTGGGGCTAGCACAGAATAAAATGAAAAACTGGAGACAGCCCACTGTATCTGCTTAAATACTCACGTTTAGGTGGAGTCTTCTATTTGTGGAGGACAGAGCCATGATTCTACCATCACGGAAATCATAAAAATTTGGAAAAAAACAGTCAGTCGTTTGTGATTCCTATAGTTAAGGGTTTATTTAGGTCTCTTTGATTAAGATCATTGGATGGCAAACACCTGATGTATCTCCGTAGTATAATCTTCATATTTTCCGAAATTTTATTGACAGTTATACTATCCAGTGTTTTCATCCGTATCGATATGGGTGAATTCCGCGCCGAGATTGCTTGGTGTTTGGAGTCCGGAGATTACAGAGTTTGCACGATATTTTTTTAAGACACCTTGAATTTTTCAGACCCAAAGACTGGCACAAGATAAATGCTACCCACCTTCCACTGCCGAGCAGTCATAATCAGGTTCATAGCATCTGTCTATGGGGTTTTTTAAGGGAATGCAACTTGGCAAATAACACGGCTTAAAAACTGACTTACAACTATGGTCCACCAGTTTGCACAACTTGGAAGAATGACCTTCCAGTAAGCAAAAGTCACCTAATTGGGAGAGAGTGGTGAATGTAAGTTTCCCTTGTCAAAGCCACAGCAAACCCAATTGTTTCACCAAGAGTCAGTTTTGCACAGTCAGCATGCGTTGTTTGGTGCATGAATTAATTGGACACAGGTTCCGGGTGATCGTACGATTATGGGTAGAATTTACCACATCTTTTGCAGTTTGCCTGTGGCGAACAAGAAAATGTTCCTTCTCAGAATACAGTAATCTAGGGATCCGGGTCAGCACAACAGACTTAACGATTAAATTATCAACACCGAACAGTTCAGCTTGTCAATAGCTCGAAGTAACTGGACCTACCGCCGTTGTGCTCATGTTCCAAGATACCTAGTGTGGTTCTGTGTTATGCAAACGGGGCATGAGGTCACCGCTTTGTACGTTAGGATCTGTTGTCAAGATTATTAGACAGCATCAGGAATGGGTGATCAACTGAGATAATCAGTTCTGCTTAACTTGGTGATTGAGCTTCCGGCTAAACACAATTAGATTTCCACACCAAATGGTAGTAGCTTCTCTTGGTCACTGATTAAAGTCGATCTTTTTTCCGGAGTGGTTTTGTCGAAACTATCCAAACCTCCGGTCAAATTTCAGCCATTTGATACTTTATTCATCATTCCAGTGATAAAATTCGCACATCTGGGGCAAAAAGGGTCCTTTAAGGAAGTTGTCCATCCAGTCCAAAGTACGTCCAGTCAACAACTTATGAGACCGTCCATCTTGTAAACCAAGAAAACCAATTGTTAAAGGAGGTTATGCTGCAACAAATCTCCCGCTGGCTAACTGGTCTACCAGCCTGCTCAGTACCCATTGCTACTGCGGTCGGGACTTTGTAGTTGTAGCAGCTGCGTCTTTTCTGCTGCCCATCACGAAGGTCTTTGAAGTTTCCGACAACCATTATGTTCACACCGCTCATATCTATTCGCTGCAGTCTCTCTCATAGTAAACCTGAATCTTTAGAAGAGTGTCATATTCCAGTTTTTGATAAATCCTTGTCTATCATCATGCTATTCATTCGAATAACACCATATTAACCGCCCGGATAAGTGGGCGAGTAGTCCGCACTTTTGGCCACAGGAAACACTTTTATTGGAAAAACAGTTTACTACAAGACTTATCGCAAGTTTTGAACAGATTTCCTCACCCGATACCGTAGTGTAGACTGCGGGGAAGCTTTCTTAGCTTAATCTACCAGAATTGTGTGCTTCCAGAGCAAAGCATTACAGAAAACTTATCTGAGGTTAACCATGATGTTTTGGGTATGCGTCGCCGACGAACAGAACGACTTTCTTGACAAAGTCGTCTTTCAGACGTTTCCTGGCGACAAAAGCATGATGCAGGGAAAACTGCTTGCGGTCGTCTAGGCATTTAATTGCGCCGCCTCTTTCCGAAATGGTCAGGGCACGACCAGGACTAATCGATTTACTGTCCAAATGAGCAGGACCTTTTTCACACACCGAAATACATTTATGGCACCAGTCAGCGAGGAAAATCTTTATTGTTCCAGAGTTACAATCCATTCTTGCCAGTCAACCTAGTGGCACCCAGGCTGAAGAAATGGTGGTTGAATTTTTACGATTCGGAAAGTAGTAACCATATGCTTATAGGAAAGTTTCACCTGACTTGAATTCAAAATCGAAGGCAACTTACAGTCAACACGGGGTAGCCGTCAACATGAAGACAACGGACTCACGTCACCATCTGAATTTCGGCTGCCACCCGGTGATTACTTATGATAAACGGGCTAATATTCATTTGTGTTCCACAGAAGGTTCTCTGAGAACCCGCCTTGCTGAACCTGTCATAGATTTGTTAAAATGGTCGCAGCATGATTCGGTGCACGGAACATGGATGGGAATGGTTTATTTTGCCTGCTGTTTTGCTGAACAAAGACATTCCGGTCAGTAAATTGCGCTCTAACCACTTGGGCCATCTCGCCCAAGTCAACCAAGTACCCATCCATCACCCATAAGTAGGATAGTCGGGTCTACGGCCAGGTGTTTGTTTTAAGATCAACTAACTGAGTACATATCGTATCATTGACGGAGACACCGGCATCAAATACACTGCCTAATGAATACGAACCGTATAAAACTTCACTTGATTTGAATGACCAAAGTAAAAGATATTCACTATGTTCCCATGATACATACAACCCAGAACGGCATAGGGGATTTGATCTAAATGTTGCGGTTCATTTATCGAGATTTTGGTGCCAGAGCCGACTGATTACTGGAAACATACTTTACTTAACCTTGCACATATGTCGCAAAGTAGTATAAGCGGTGTGAACTTTCGGTCGACCACTAACCATATCTAGTATTTTACCAATAGTTTCGAAATTTTCCAGAGGGGATATCCGTAAGCTGTGTCTCTGCATTCTGAACCTCTTAATTTATCAACCATAAATCATGTACCATGGGTACATTGATTTCAGCTGCTACAGTTTCACTCACCGGAAAGCGGTAGGCGTGGGAGCCACATTCAAGCACTGGAGGTGATGACCTGTTCAGTTAGTTCGGAAATGGTTCGTTACACATCGAGGGTGATAGGTTTCATACAGGAGCGTCTCTGACTGCGCGGTTAAGCTATTTCTACCGGTGTCATTAGTCTTTTTACGTCTTTTCCTCACTGAAGACTTTGTTCCCTGCTGACGACCAATTGCACAAAAAGATAGACGAAGTGCTTGATTGCTTTCTGGGCTTACCATCAAATTCATCAAAGAGATCGGCACCAGGAACACGAACAATGCGAAAAACGGGAAGGTTAGTTCGGGAATGTAAATGGTCGAAGCTTGAGTGTCCAAGTACGGTTTTGTGATGACCTCTGTGTGTTCATATTCACCAACCATCATCATTAACGTCTGGAAGAGTGCAAGTCCCATATTTGCGTAGACTTTCATTGACAGATCCACATCCGGACGATTCGTTGTCGAGTGGTTCAAATGTTCGAATCCGAGGAAGCAATAGGCTAGACGGTTTTTCAAGAATTGCGGGGATTCGTCGAATTCCTAGAACAGAGATCACGTACGGCATACACTTGACTGCACTGCTTCACCACATGACTAAGGGACAAGAAACAATATGTGTGACTGACATCCAGTGTACATTTACCGTTCCCAGATTCTGGGAAAACTTTATACGATCAACACATGTATGTGACTTTCTTCAGTAGGCGGCACTTGCATGCAAAACTGCAGTCGACTCATACGAATGGGTTCAATTTTTCTTTTCACTAGATGTTGCTGGCTGTGAGAATCCTCAGCAGGGGTAGGGAAGTGAACAAGATCTTTCCTTCAAGTACAGTAACCCTGGTGAATTAATTTTTGCTAATAAGCAGTGATAACCTGCTCGCCTCGCCCATCTAGTAGATGAATATTAAAGCCCAGTACAGTCTGCATCGCTGACGGGTTCAAATAAAAGAAACAGCACTCTGTGTAGGCCAACCCGTATAACTGCCTTACTCCTGGAGGATGACCACTAAAATGGTGGCTGTATGGTTGCAGATTTTGTGGATCTCACAGCTATTAAAAAATAATGACATTACTGGGAGTAAATGAATAGCAAATCACTTTGACCGGTTGCTAGTTACTTTTCAGCATACTAGTAGCGAAGAGCAGTGCATTCAGTCTACTCAAAGGAAACGATGCAACACCGCTGACCTAGGGAAGTTCAAGATATTATTTCCAAATTTTGCAAAAGTTCTCATGACCCAAATCATAGCTGAATGGGATTGGTTTGACTCCAAAGAGTGGGCTGCAGCCCATCAGGATCACCATCGGTCAAGTGTTTGTGTAAGAGGCGGCAGTCTTTTAGGAAACCGATTCGTACAATCTTGTCATTCAATATATATATATATATATATATGCATCAAACAGATTTAGTCTTAAGGGTTTTTCAGGCAATGAACTTTGCCAACCCTCCCTCCTCATATGACGACTGCACAGTCACATGCATATGTTTCGGGGACATAAAATGTGGTCAAAAAGTTTAAACAATCCGATACCTATGGTAAATATGAAATGAGTATGGGTAAAACTCAGCTTTTCTTCACGAAAAATAAGCTAATAGGATAAAAATCACTCCAGTTTGAAAAAAGATGATTTTGCTATCCACTACAGTCAACCGTCACTCACCTGTTCTTCTGGGAGAGTTAGAAGCTTGTGGAACGTTACCGCGAAAGCGAAAAACAGTATGCTCAAAACGGAGGCTGATTTCATGATAGTCGTGCTTACTTGCAAAAACATGATCACAAATATTCCGATAGACTGGTACCTGAGAATAAGGGAATGAAAAACAAGTATGCAAGAGGGGGTGTGCGAACGGAAATCCTCCAGAGTAGTAAAATTATTCGCATATTCAAATTAAATCTACTCGTCACAATAGCTACTAATGGTTAATATTATTATCACCGAAGACAGCGACATCAGTGTTGACACTGATGCTGCACTGCCATAAAACCATAAGGTTTATCTGTCTACATTTAACGCCCTAGAGTGAAAAGTACAGAAAAAGGATTGGAGAGGGAGGGTACCTATTGGTAGCCTCTATCAAACATTCTGAGGTGCATACACCACTAAGCGCCCAATCAGAAAGTCTAGAAAGAAACTGTCAACACGAACGCCACTGATATTGATCAGCTGCCATTTCTTACAATGACTAAGGCCAAGCGCGGTCGAGGTCACGATGACTCCATCCTAGAAAGCTTACGACACCAACAACACGCAGACTCTTGTAATCTCTTTCACACCCTTATGCCAACTCAAACGTTGTCCACTGCGCGGTTTTCGCCATTCTGAAGGAGGCACAGAAAACAACACTCGTATCGGCAGGCGGTGTTTTGGCATGCTGATCAAATGAGAGTTATCTGAGTTGTCCGGAACCAAGCTTGCATCATAAACGACCTAATCCAAGAATAATACTCATTAGAATGTCAGTAGTGCATTCGTCGTTAGTCTAATAAATTGGGCAGTTCTATCGATTCTCATCCCGTTCAGCGATAAACCCCAACACCAGGCGAGTGGACTTACTGGACATTGTTCATAACTCAAGAGACTCAAGGGTGCCTGCTGACATCGAGCTAAATAACAAAACCATCTAAAACTCGTAAGTTGCAAAGGATTAGTGGAACACTCCTCGAAGGAAATGAATGAAACCGCAGGTATACATCAGAAGGACCGTTAAGATGACTTTAAATGCCACCGTTCTGCTCAAAGGAAAACGCTTTGGTAATTCGCCATGGAGATACCAGTCAATGCTTTTTCGATTAATATAGCTGTGCGATGTCCCGAGACGTTGATCATGCTTGTGGTCTAAAAATATCAACTAACTCGCACTAAAAACCTGAAGGTACCTCAGGTCAATCAAACGTTTTAGGACATCTTACTATCACCCGAAAGACACGAGTGAAGTTCTTGCAAGCCAGATTTATTTGGATTCTGGTCGTTTACTTCATCGAAACTCAGTCCGGTTCTGTCACCTGTCCTGTCTTTGGGTTCAACAGAGATCTTGTCGTCCAAGTTGGAAATTTAGGAAGTGCTGCACAGCCGCCTCATTTTAATTGTGTCTAATCAGCAGTGCACGTACCACAAGCCTCTAAAATGATTCGAGCCCGCGGCTTTCCGTTGTTAGTTCAACATTATACCACCTGACCACGATGTCCCAATCATCACGCGGAGACGTGGGTCGAATGCTTCATGTAATGCTCTGTTTTTTTTCGGGTTGCTTTGATTGGACTGTCCTCATTAAAATAAAGAATCATCGCTAGGAACTCGTTTACTCAAACTTTGGACCAGGTATATGTTTTGAAGGTATTTTTCACTTGCACTTGAAGTCAAAAACGTACCGCAGCAGCTGCAGCAGTAAGTTGAACCAAGAGATAAACATGACTACCAAAGTCAGAGCGGCCCCGTGGGGAGTTCTGTGTTCCAAAAGATTTAGCAGTGCACTCAATCCGACGAGAAGTTGAAAAATGGTAAGCAAACAGTTGGCCCAGTCTTTGAAGAACTCCCATCGCTGCATTGATTAAAAAATTCCAAAGATAAAACTAATCAGTGCGATCAGAAATAGGACATTTCAAGATTGTATGAACTCAAAAAGCATATGCTACTGATTTTCAAGGGTACCACACCGCCATGGAATTGTAACTCCACAGTGGCTGAAATAGCCTTAATATGCACAACTGATCTATAATAAGTCTATTTTTCGGCATTTCGGATGTGGCCACTGGTAATCTGCTTGTTTTGAAACTAAGATCTCAATATAGTTGTCTCTTTATTACTACTCACAGTGACAGCTATTTTTGGGATATATTCACGCGAGACTCTTCACCTGCATTTTCATAGCCAGCTAGCGAGGTAGTCGTCCGTCGGGTAACTGCCTCAAACCAATTTGTGGCTAGTCTTATACTACAAGTGTGTGGTGTAGAGGGTTAAGGAATAATACTTATTGCTCGACTTGTTATGAGTTGCTCGTCTTGTTATGTCAGTAATGGGGTCAGATACTCATCTACACGCTCCTACGGAAGGATATTCTTTACACAACTTTGTCAGCATAACGGAAGTGTCACAACTTGCTGCTCGACTGGTGTCATCCAAATGCACGAAATTACTTGGATGGTTATGTCGAGGAAAATTAGCTGCTTCCGTCACGCCGGCCCCGACTGCTTGGGTGAATCACAGTGTTCTGTGGATATTCACGCTGGTGCATGGGTAGATGATCGTATAGGTATCTCTCATCATTTCAATACATTACTGCACAGCAGGACACTGGATAAGTCGGCAGTGAGGGATCGTTGAGAGCTAACAAACGCAGATGCTACTAATGACATACTAGTACGTTTCCATATTGTAAAGATCTTATTAGGAAAACTGCTGTGATAAGACCACGATCCCTTAGGCTGCTCAAAGTTTGTTGGCAGGTTATATATCTGGGTCTGCCATTGCTTGACCTCCATTGCGCTTCTCTTCTTCGAAGATAGGGTGAACGAAGGGGAACTGTTGTAAGCTTGAACTGAGTGTGCAACGCATACTTGGTTCATTAAGCAATAGCTTTGGGTGACTGTCCTTTTGCGTGACAAAGATTGGTCAAGTGAAGCAATACGTCCCAGCGTACCGTATCTGTCGGTCCATTCGACCAACGAACCAAGAAATCTGATGCATATCTCTGATTTTCACGACAGTGATAACATAATGAAAATCACGAATTTCCTCTACATGTCTCATCCATTGACGTCTGAAAATCTGGTCAACGATCGATCACACGATTGCACCTTCATTCTAAGTGCTAGTCCAGTCGAATGTCCCACCATCTTAGTTCAAACAGGTAGTAGTGACTCAACCCATTCAACTTTGAATAACCATCCAACCCGATTGACTGGTAAGCTAAGAAACTCTTATTCCAACTTGTTAATCAGCTGACCGCCTAAATTTTTGTGTATTCGCAATGTGCGCTGTGCATCAAATTTGTGTGACCTGGTAAAACCATTAAGTCTTTAGCAGGTGCGATAATTTCGTGCTGTATGTAAGGTTGTATGCTGAGCTTATCGCTAGGCCGTGACCGGATAAAAAGTAATCGTAATTGTTTGATTTTCAAGAACTAGAAACGCGTAAGCTGCGGATCCATGTGCAAATTGAGTATGCATGCAAGTAGACCCTATAGCTCCAATTTGGAATTATCCTATCTTTAGGTTCAGGATAACAATATTCTGGACTGAATTGGGAACACGGTCAGTTCTTCATTAGCATTGAAATCTTTTAGATTGAAACGTTCATATTGAAAGTTTTATTCTATTCCAGCGACCCAGCAAAAGGTGGGACTTTCTTCCCTTTCGGCCGACTAAAAAAGGGAAACATCCAGTAAAGCTTGATCACTCAGTTGATTGACAGGTCGCGATTTACGGAAAAGTTTGTCGGTAGATTTACGGCTGAGTAACGTTTCACTAGTATTGCCCCAATATTATTTGGTCGTGTCACAGCGTTATGCACAGAAGAGATCAACAGGACAGCAGCTCAAACTGAGGTTACCAACAGATTCGAATAAATAGTGAGTTTGAGCAGACAACACTTAAAAAGCTCTCAAGGCCTAGTGAGGAGTGGATTGTCACAGAAATCACCCAGTGTAATGCAGGACCACTTGAGCTTATTCGAATACTGCTCAACATAGTCTACAATCGACTGGCGTTCCCTGTTACAAGGACTAGAGAATGCGTGCGATTGCACTAGGGTTTTTAGAGGACAGACAACCAGGCAATTACACTACATAATTGGCCAGCATGTGAGAAAGATAAACACATCACTGAGAAATGCGGACTAATACCAAGTTATCTTCAAAGACTCGGTGATGGCGGGACATGGGTTAGGCACAAGACTTAGAACATGTCCAAAGAACGTAGAAGTTTCAAGACGGGACTGTGATTCACAGCTGCTGATGGTCGAGGTAGTGGAATCACCAAGCCTCACAGTGTGAATAGAATCGAGGGTGTAGATCTGGCGAGCGTATGGAGAGAGGTCTTAGATAAGACGAGTTGACACGTGACGGGGTGAGTTTTTAATAAACGTAAAATCATTGGCAAAAAAGGTGGAAATCCTAACCTGACCAAAGTTCACGGAACCCCTTTCCCCCTTAGCACTGGCTCATCCACACAGACGGACATCACAGTGACACTCTAATTTTTTAAAGGTGTAATGCACTATTCATAAGGTTGACGAAAGTCCTTCGACAGCGCACGACCGGGCTCAACCTTCTTGGGGCTCTTCAGGTAGGCACAGTCCCCTGGTTTCCGTCGGCCTTATGTTCTACTTGAACCCAAATTACACGAAATTGGCGAAATGCACTCAGTTGCATAGCAATTTGGTTTTGAGAAGATATCCAGTTGGGCTCTAGATGAGTCTCCCGCCAAAACCAAACTGGTATGTAAATGAGTGTGTAATTCGGAGAGTGTACCTAATTTATGTAATACAACATTTTTCTCTGGAATGCAATGTAAGCAAAAGCCCAAAATGCAATGGCGACCACGCCATGAAGTGATAAATACGTAGAACAACTATGCAGTCGATAAGGTTTTCAGGCTTATTCAAGTGATGTCTATTTTTTGTTTGGTTATCACGTTGTCTATATTGAGAATTTTTAGCTTTGGATGTTCACAACCTTGTGATAGAAATAAAACAGACCACTTGTACCATTCAGAAACAGCACCAAACAAATTCCTCGGACGTTACACATTGGTTGCTGTCGCCGCTGAGGTAAACTGCATGTACCGTAAACAAAGGTTGTTTGCTCTTGAGCCTCAGTCAACTAGCGCATTGTCATTACTGGTCGGGAATACCGTGGTTTCATCAATACGGCGAAACTTGTTTGTGTCCGGCGCCGGTTGGAGTCGGCTGATGCATTTGTGAAGACTGGGTTTATGAGGCTAGGTCACCTAGTCATTTTGACAATAACTGTCTTGCGGAATGCAGGAAACGGGTGCTTGATAGCCACCAAAGAGCAGTAACAATATAATAACTAGCCAATCATTTTCGGCAGATGACTGACATCAGCCGTCTTCCTGGGAGAACATGCTGGTTTTCGGGCAGCCATTATTTGACAGCATATCCTCTGCTGCATTAGATGGTAAAGACTAATATAGAGAAAGATTACACCATCTATTGGGTGTAATGATCCTAGTCCGGGTGAAACGAATTTGGGTCCATCGTAACTGAGACCCTGAAAACTGTCGTTTTTTTTGTTAACGTCATTCTGTAGAACTTCTCATAGAAGAGGTATTCGAAACTAACTTATTCGGACACACAATGAAAAGACGTCAATTTTCGGGGTTCGAAAGATGCGTAGGTCTTGGCAAAATTCATGGCTCTGCAAACTGACTTTGTGTTAACGAGAGGCTTAATTAGGTGCAGCTGAACCACTCTTTTATGTGCTATTTTCAACAGAATGTAATGCGCAAACGCCTCCCTGTGTTTAGGTTTTTCGAGATATATGTTAGTACATAATTTTTTTCGATGCAAAGCATTACTCAGAAGGTTGCTGAAAAATCTTCGGTTGTCCACGACCGGTTTCGTCTTTTTTTAAACTACTCAAATAGGGGCAATCCCCGAGTTTCAGTCAACCTCACGTCTTCACAGAACATCAAACTGTGCTCAATAGGCAATGATTAAATTGGTGTTAACAGAAGAATGATACGCAAGAGATCCAGTTGGGATGTGGTTGAGTCTTCTATTAACGCCAACCTGATTTACAAATTAGTGTATATTACCAGTTGTACACGATATATTATTCAAGTAAAAATCGGGTGATGGAAACGCGGGAACTGTGCCTGACTGGTGGGCCCAACAAAGACGAAACCGGTTGTGAGCTGCTAGTAAGTTTTCGGCCACCTTCTGAGTGATAGGTTTTGTCTTGTTTCTACACTGAATAGATAGGGGGAAAGGATTTCACATCCTTCCGTGTGTCTAGGTATCATACTGGAAGTCTCTGCTGAAGACCCTAGCGAAGTGCATAAGCCAGAGTTGGATGTTGACGGGGAACAAAACGAAGTATGCATGGGTTTGTGTGTATTTAGTGAAACAAACAATTGCTAAGGAGGATGAGGAAGTTTGTTTTAGAGGTATTTTATTGATCGATGGTGCGTGTTCTCGATCGACAACAAAACTCTATCAATATACAGATTTTTCAAAGTATAATACCTTCCCAATTTGCTATGAAAGTGGGGCTAACTTCTTGGCCTCATCACACTGGTCTTTCAAGGGAGATCACAACAAATGCATCTGGCTATCAGTTTAAATACGTATTTATAATTTTCTGACCTCAGATATATACTACCTTTTATCAAACTCCAGAAACTTGTAAATTTTTCGAACTTCTCAAAGGTGCACATTCCAAGTGCAGCCTTCCGCGCATTAGGTGCGCATTAGACTCCTTGACATACGGTCATTCATAAGATACCTTGGTAACGGAGTTCCATTGGGGGGACGGCAGCAGTCGAATGTTGAGTTTATCGATTTTCATGGTTGGTCAATCATTTAGTTTTGTTCTCTGCAGTGGGTCAACCTAGTTTTAAATGGTGCACTACAACACTGTGGTGCATAAATAACTTGTTGAGTGAATTAGGCTGAATCTTCTTTCAGTAATTGGTCGTGCACCAGACAAATCATATCATCGTTCAGCTATAGCACCCTTTCGGTGCCTAACTGACATGCAACCAGAAGAAAGCACGAGGGCTGGGTTGCCCAAGCCTAGACAGAGGAAGCCGAGAAACAGAAATCGGGTTTGAACCACGGACCTTCCGGTCAATAGATTCGAATTCTAACCACCTAGCGATCTTGCTCCGACGAACCATATATTGCAATCAGTTAACACTGCAGTAGTGGATGAAATTTTGGAAGGGATTTTTCGAATGACGAAGATGCATAAGAAGTGCGTCGGATTTGTTACACTAACCAGATAATTTCGTTAGTATTGTGGCAATGTGTGGTAAAATCCGATGAAAATTTCGTCCTGTGAGTGAGGCCAATAAAGGCTGAAAATCTAAGAAGCATTGTACATCTGTCTTGTCTTTACTGGAAATTATCAGTGGTGTGCGTCTCCTTAAACTCCAGGGAGTTTCGAATCCGCAACTTCCCGGCTAGTAGTTTCAGAACTCAACCGTTGGGCCACCAGTGGCAGATCAGCAGTGTGATTTGCTCGCACTTAGAATAGAGCACCACTCATTCTTCAATCACGGGATACACATCACCTCGTCATATCTTGACAGGCTCGTTGAATGACGGACTCTCAGATACAAGTTGCACTGACCATGAAAAACTTTGGGGTTGTTGGTAATGCGTATTAACAACTGTTGAGCTTTCCACAACAGATTATCTTCATTTGCAGGATGAAATGTGAAAAAATCCCAAGCAACCTGTTTGGTGACCGTTGGAGGGTTTTGTTAATGGTTGTTGATGACTATGGAAATCTTTTATCTTGGCTACTAATATACTTGCACATTATTAGTGGCATACTTTTTGAAAGCAATAAACAAGGAACACGGTTTTATTAATAAAAGCAATGTTCATGCCTGCTGTAATAGGTCTGTCTTCAGACGCGAAAGGATAAGGGGGCATGTTATGAGACGAATCTCAGGCGCACAAGAAAAGGAAATCACGAAACAAAAAACCGCTCCTTTCTTTTGGAGTGCAATGCGCGTTGCCAAAAGCAAATCGTTGTTATGAAAACCACTCGTGATGCATGATGTCCCATTTAGCATTTGACTGTCACCGGGACCAGTGATGACTGAAGGTCAATTTCACTGTCAACGCGAGTGTCGAAGTCTTAGCTCTATTCCGCATTTGGTGTCTGATGCTGGGAGCCAAACCAGATTGTCACCCGAGTGTGACTGCAGTGCGTGATATTCACGTGAATGCATGGTCATCAAGTGGGTGATCTTTGCAGCAACAAAAATAGGTGTGACTTCCCTTCTGCAATCCTTCCTTATGAGGCACTTTGATAAATAGTTTCCGTAAAAGAGGGAATTTCCAAGCTGTTTGATGACACCAAAAGCTTGTTCTAAAAGATACTGCACAAATCAAAGCGATACTAGTTTCAACAATCGTAGACAGTGCAGAAAACCGGAGCTCACCTGTGAAAATAATTCCACTGATTTGATCAGTACGTGAAGTCCATTGCATATAAGTATCATGACCAAAATGATTCTGTTCATAGCTGAATTGCTCCGCTGAACATAAAGCTACAGAGTAGAACGTGTCGGAAGCAAGGATGAGCACAACAAAGTTGCTGGATCGATTAGGTAATGTTATCATCACTTTCGAACAGACCACTTAATAAATATTACTGCACTCCATTATCTGAGAAGATCGACCGCATTAAAGTATGCCCCGCAATAAAGAGGTAAACAGGCTTTCAGAATAGATTGTTGTTAGGGCGAAATCCATTGGTAAAGCCACATCAACAACAGTCATTCTTCCCTCGTATCGAAGCGACTTCTTCCCAAAGTCAGCGATTATAAATGATCCGTGTGGGCAGTAGCATGTACGACTCCTCTATGGTTTCACGCGAACTGCACCGAGATCGGCTTTTGGTTCCTTTCTGTGAGAACCAACCTGCGGCTTTGGATCGCTATCCAGCTTGTTTAATAACTTACGAATGTGTGGAGGATGACATGATCATTCCACTAGCTTAATACTCTGCAATCAAATGTATAGCAGAATATCCATCAACGGAGATGTGCGCCACCCAATAATTCTGTCCTATTTCTGTCTTTAGTCACATATTCTATGTATATGTTCACCCCACAATTATGGTCAAACAAAAGGATCTTGGTATCATGGCGCAATGCCTGATGGCCTTACTGCCACCATCGCATATTCATGCCGTTGACGATATATGTTCTCAGATGATTTTTTGAATTTATATTAAGCTGCATGCCAAATAAGTGGTACAAGCTTGGAATAATAGGCTTGAATGTGACAAACGCTTTGTTGAAAAAAGTACTGTGACAGGCTAACGCAGTCAACAAAATAGCGTGATGTAGTTCGTTATCCACCGCGTCATGCGTGGTAATCTCAAGTGCACTTGTTTACCTTTCAATAGTCATTGCTATCTCTGCCGTGAATTGCGAGTACGAAGTGATCCAAAGGACCCGTGGGACTCTCGATCTGGAAATTTTACATCAACGCTGCTGCCTCTGCTGTTTGCCGACCGTTTAACGTTTTATCCTCTGATTCCACCTCTCTTCCATCATCGGCGAAGAGTAAGGTTCATACAATGACTATATTTCAATTTGAGAAAGCCAGTTTTTCACTGTGTGGTCCTAAAAGATACTTAACTATTCCAAATCTTGCGTTGGTCAAATGAATTGGTACTTAACAGCATACGGCAGGTGCTTGAACAAGCATTATACCAGCAGAGAAATCTGATTAAATAGCTTTCTGAAACCGGTAGCGGACTAAAAGAAACGCATCAATTGAAGTTCAAAACACCTAAGTTGGCGGAACTTCTAGAATTTTTTCCGGAACATTATTGAAGGAATATAATGGTAGTAAAGTGCCTGGAAAAATCACTGCATTAAGTGATGTATACCAGAACCATAAAACTCGCCTTATCCACACAGTACGATGTCTGTGGATTGTCGTAATTCACCGACAGTGGCATTTGTCTCAGTGCCAACCAGGTGATCGATATGCTCAAACTTAGATAGTACAAAGTGACCAAGAACTGGATCCATCGACCATAGGTATTCCTGTGGATCAAAAGGAGATGGGACTGATTTGCAACTGCTGTAACAGGTTAGTGTCGTTCGACAAATTAGTATCCACCTCATTACAAGGATCAAGGATTTCACATTCTATTGGAATGGATGTGTGGCTGGTACTCTCAACGCTACACTTTCCAAAAATGTAGATTCGGGTTTTACTCGTCGACGGGTTTTGTCCTCTCAGTCAATGAACTACATGTACCCCTCCCGGCTACTTTTGTGTTAGAATTAGGCTTGCTTGTGTGGTGCACGATACTCAAATTTACATCTTTTTCGAGTTTTCGAATAGAGCTTTGCTGTGTTTTGCGGGATTGTCGAAAATATACTGTAAATGCTTGTGGTAAATAAATATTTGAATGGACAATATGGATATTTAATCGTATGTCGACGGTTGGTTTCGGTGACATGAGTTTACTGAAATGAATTTTAGTTTAGAAAAAATTACACTCTTGAAAGTAAGCTACGGTAATCGTTCAGGTACCTCTTCATATGGCCAGAACATGTAAAACACAGACAGTCGGAAAACCGAAACAAGGTCCAGTATAACTAATATGTTTAAAGCCCATTGTAGTTTTATATACAGAGAGCATGTGAGCTAAAATCCAACTGTTGATGGAATGTTGCTGGTCCTCACGAAGAACCGCCTGAATGTATCCAAATATCCGTTTTTAGGCTGGACAAATACATCTGTCTCGATAGGAGTATAGGATATGCTAAGCGCACACAGGGGTAATCTGACAGGAAAGACTGTCCTTCGTATGCTGTCTGATAGGAGGATGAATAGTGATGATCAGTGGTGACGAGACTACACCGAGAGTTATTTTGAAGGTTGTACCAAGTCTTTAAACAGCTTAACACTTTTGGAAGACCTTCGATTCAGCCAGTTTACTAGCTGCTTTCGTCACTCGTTTGCGTGAAACATCGAGATGACTGTCTGAGCGCATTCCGCCACATGTTGTTCAAGGTCGACTGTTTAGTTTACAGTATGTTTGCTGACAAAAGGACATTAGGTCAAGGTAGTGCGGATGCCTTGATCATTGGAAAAGGATCGCTAAAAGGAACTGAAAACTGAGCAGATTCGGGATTTCGGAAACCGTTAAAGTTATTGGCATAGGCATGTATTGGCCTAAGCTCTGTGTTCAGAAATGCTCTATACAGATGTCTGCATTCAAATGTTCAGGCGACTGGTCCACGCTATGATTAGTGAAACTCCATCCTCCCAAAGGAGATTTCAACTTTGCCGTCCATAAAGCTAAACGCTGTGCCAAAACTAAAACCCTTCCCTCCGCTAACCAATTTCTGTGAGTCATTATTAACGTGTAATTCATCATTCAGTGATTACATCGGGGCTACGTTTTAAGACCGACTGGAAACAGTACTCACCACTTCACATCTAGGTAGGCCGTGCACAACGGATGTATTAGAAGTTCTTCCCGCTTCAGTTTTACCATCAGCTGCAATTGTTAAGTGTAGAACAAACCAATAGTCAAACTGAAATTTATCATTCGTTTCAAAATGAAAAGGCTAAAATACCAACAATCACCTGCTGGTACCAAATGGATCAACCGGTTAGGCAATGTGCTGGAATATTGGGAACTGTGGTGGGAGCCATTTGGTAAATTCAGATCAACATTATTCTAGAGAGCCAACTGGTTACAGGTCACTTTTAGTTGGGGAACATCATAGAAGGGACAGTCTTCTAACGCCATGCGTACCTTTACGTGTTTCATTGGTGCAACAGGCCTCTTGTCTTTAGCCCGGGGTGGGACCTGCAGAACAGTGAAGTCGTATTTTGTCTGGAAGTGAGAAAATGTACAGAATGAATCAAAAACAGAATCTATAATTTCAACGATGATGACGTTATAATATATCTTTAGGGGACAGCATTAGTGTCTTTATTTTTTTCAGTGGAAGGGGTATGGTTTCCCGTCAAAAAGATAAGTTTTATTAAATTTCATTTCACTTCATATGTTTGTATTCATAGTCAATAGCTACTTGCTTAACCCTCAGCTTAGTAAATACGATGTTATTAAAGTGTATTGGATCATCATATGCACGTACAGTGCGCTTCTGATTAGTTCTGGATAAAAAACTGCTACCTAATAATCCACTAAACTCCTTACTTCAAACTAGTTCCACCCATCCAAAAAGACAACCGCTTTAAACACAAGCGTATTAAATTTCGAATGAAACTCTTGGAGTTCAGCGTAAATATTAAAAAGATATCTGACCATACCACCAGAACAGTTCTCATATAATTCTCGGCGTATAAACCGCCACTTTCTTCATTTCCGACCAAATATCTAAACCTGTTGGCCTACAGCAATACTGTTTTGCTGATATTCATATGGGTTCTGCCTAACCGTACTTCTGTCTCATTTGATAAAAATTGGAAGATCGCCCACAATCCACTTGGTTGTCCTTTTTTTGAAATCTCCGCATGAACAGGATGAAGTGACGTAAATTTTTTGTTTGGAGGATGGGCGGTACTGCATCCCGTCTCACAAAAAGGTCTTAACACCACTAATGACACTTGATCCTGCGGCATAGTATTTGAACTCCAACCGGAATATCGGTGCCCACATTTCCTTCGGCATTTGTACGTTTCTCACTTAAGATTTCCAGTGGGGATAAAACAGCTGGATGGTGCTTTTTGGTCTTTCGGCGTAGATTGATTCCAACCTCAAGTCAGACTTTTGGACCTTTGCACTGTTCACCTTGCCTTTCAGTTACGAAGTAACATGCATTTTAGCCCCCGTAGGTGAATAATTTCAACTGTCAGCGCGGGAGTCAGGTATTTAGCGTCGATGCATGAAGGTCATAGAGTTCGGGTAGCATAAGCGGATACTTGTCTAGGTGCTCTCAAGTCTTATTTTTTCTAAAGCAAATTCTTCTCACGATCACCTCCAGTATGAGGTGAAATCCAAAGCAAATCAGCATAAGCGCTACTACAGCCGGTAAGAAGAAACTAGTCTTCTGCAAATGATACTAACCCCGAAGTCGACAAAAAGTCTGAGATAACTCAGTAGGGCGTTCTCTCTTTCTCCTATTCCTTACGTGGACCTGATATCTGAACTTTCATCAATCTTACTGTCCGCTTAAACAGTTTTGGACATATGTGGACACAAACAGTCATCCGCATGTTAAGATAATGTTGACCGGTAACTTAACTGATCGTCAGCTGAGTCTCTCGTTTTCAGCATTAGAGAGATAGCCCCGTTTGAAATGGATTATGTCAAATGATAAACGTTCAGTATGCTCGTCAAACTTGCATGCAGGATGCTACACCTCTGTTTCTGTTTATGAGCAAACACTGCGGAAGAGAAGTGTTTGTACCTCAGGAATAACGGTGTATATTAATAATGAAACGTGAGGCTGGCTCAGGTCAAGTTGTTAAAATCACTGTTCCCGCAGTTGACCGAAGGCTGATATGAAATAATCAGAGCCTTTAACAGTGTTTGTTCTTTGTTATTTAGTGTCCAAACAACGCTGAGGAAAGCTTAGGAAGACGCTTGGAGATGTTGACTTTTTCAAAATTTTGGGTGAATGAGGTTTTTACTTCCGTGTCTAATAGCTTGCAACCACTTAGTGTGCCAGAAAAACATCTTTGCAATTAAAGGTGCTTCTACTTTTACAGGCTTTACAGGTGTTTGCTTGTTCGTCAAACTTGGTAGTTTGATTTCAGGCGTTCCGTCACCAATCGGGGTGATGTCGTCAGTGCGTTGTTAGGGTAGGAGTGAAGATTAGCGATGCGTCAGTGGGTCACTGATGCACCACTATGCCTCAACCAGTTTTCCAACAACGCACTGATGATGAAGCATTTGCAGTCAGACTCCTCAGCTCAGCGACCAGCCATCGACCACACACCAGGGATCTCAATTCGCTGGATCACAGCTGCCTCAGATTTTGTACAATTGCATCAAGTTGGCTCGCCAATGTACAACTCCTTTTCAACAGCTGATGGAGTAGCGATCCAGCTGTTTGTCGCCTTAGCTCTTTATCCACACCGTGACGACGATGACTTGGACGTGTACTCAGCTGAGGGCAGTCACCATAGGGTGAATGTTGTAAAGCCTGGAGACACTCTGCCATTCGAGAGCTAATCCGGTGGAGGTTGTCCTCCAGCTGAGTTGCTTTGCAGAAATGGTGAATATGACAATTTGGCACATTATCTTATCCAGCTACGTGAATGTACGATTGACGATTATTAAGTAGGGATTGCCAGATCACGAAATTTCCCGAAACTATAGTTTTACACAGTACAATTTATTGGGGTTCGTCGGTTACAGAAACGTCAGAAACCTGGTAGTCTGAGTTAGTTTATTGATTGTTGATCAGATGGCCGTTGATTTATTTGCGGAGCTTGGACGTTCCATTACCAATCCAGGAGAAATCAACCGTTTGTGGTTAGGTGGATACATATTCCTCACACCTCTGTGTTCATACAATTCTACAGAGGCATGTGCTATCTCTCGATGTGTTTGGTTAGATACATGGTAGCTTCCTGGTGATACTGTTGGCCCGTTTGCGCTCTGTAATGCATCACTTCCCTTATTCCTCGCATTACAAAAAGTGCATTTCCGAAGCGACCGCAAGGTTGTTGGGAGAGCACGATGAAAAGATGGCCCGTAAACTACCAGAAACCTTGATGGCAGCATCACCGAAATCAAGAGATAAATGGATACAATTATAGGGATCATTGTTCTATAAAAGATGCCATTTAAGGATTGCTACGTGCACTAAGTAAGACAAGCAAGAAGTAAGTTTTACCGACAGAACTCTACTCATAAAGTTGCTAATTTTTCTACTAGAATTCATGAAGGCAAACTCCCTACAAATGTTCGGTTTCCTCTAGTATTTCAGCGAGAAAACGAGGAAGGACACAGATTTGACTGGAAAACACGATATGAAATCAAGGATATAAAGTGCGTATCCATAAAATTTTGGTAGTCCATCGGGAATGGAATAAACAAGCGTCAAAATCGACTCAAATTATCAGCCATGGAGCACAAAAAACCTCCTCTAGCTACAAAGTCTTAAACTGTACCAGAAACCAAAAGATAAGGACGGAACAAACAACTGAGTAAAAATTCAACGAGCCAATCATCAATCAACCAAATGACGAAATTAAACAAAAAGTGAAGCACTACCAAACAAGGAAGATGTCTAGTTGACCGCAATAACGCATGTAAATCGCCGATTACGAAAACCACATTAAACAAGATTTAAGAAGAGTCTGTCCACGAATCAGTACAAGCAAAGAACAGGACAAACTGTGAAAAAAAATGAAAACTGCGAAGCATTTGACACGATAAGGCAAGCAATCTATTTCGAGGATGTTAGTCCACAACGCAACAAAGATCGCAAACCAACCAATCAGAAGAGAGAGGGTTCCTTCGAAGAAAATCATCCAGTGGACGAATTGAGGGCGAAATTAAAAATTCTGTGCAACGAACAACGCAGCCGGACCACTGAGAGTATGAAACTGATTCATACATTTTGCCCTGGACATCGGCAGATATCAGGTATTCTTTGAATAGTGTAGGCACACAAGCAATGTACCGAAATATACCCTGAATAGGTCTCGTCCATTGGCGACGAATCGTTTGCAAGCTAACTTCCGTACTTGGCCAACGGGTCAACAAGAGGTCAACAACGGATGACAACATGTGGTACATACTAGCAATGGGTAACAAGGTTACTGGAAAAAGGAGCAGTTTTCGCGTTCTTCGGGGGGAGAATATCTACTACATGCTGGTGTGGTGTCTCTACAGGTCTCTCAGTGGTCCCCAACCGATTGCAATGAGAAAAAAACATTAGAAAATTTGCATAAGGGTACTTTATATGGTTGCCACCTGTAGAATAGTTTATTGTATGCATAAACGATGTACCCATGCATTAATCTGAGTCTAAAATGCGTCTCTGGTTTTGCTAGGATTAGACGAAAGTAGACCTGGAAGGACTTCTCGAGGCACAACGTCCTTCGGGCAAATATTCACAAGATATCCGGGCAAAACATGACGACTGATCAGTACCTACTGTTAGTCGCCTTGAATGAACAAGCACATCAGCTCTCTTGTCCTGTATTCTGATATTTTCAATAACTTTTAGTAACGCTCAGGGAAAGAGGGATATTGAGAAAACATTGCCAATCATCAGAAGGAACTAAGTCGACAAACCCCATGTTCAGGTGTATTCCGAATGCCACATTCCGTAACATGGACGTCCAAAACGAGCTGAAATGGAATGGAAAGCCCGTATTTGTGCAGCAGAATAGCTCATGCAGGGCGAGGCGAATTCGCGGCCGCCGTCGCAAACTAGGCTACTTTAGTAAGCAGAGCTAATAAAACAACTGTTTAATCAGTCCTTCATTTTTGTATCACTCTTATGGACAGTTCAGGACTCTGCACTTCTCGGCAGTCAGCTACTAAGTCTATGACCGCGTCTACACCATGCTAGTAAAGAATCCAGGTCTTCGCAACCTTTAATTTTAAGCGACAATGCCAGAAAGAAGGGAAAAATCACAATTTCGCTCTCAGTGGCACTCATCAAGACCATTATACATTAGTACACATCAGAATTTAGGCGAAAGCGGTTGGGTTTGACCACATTCTCTCACAGGATGATGAAATTGAGGAATAACCCTGCGATTATGCACCCAACGTGATCAATCCATCAACTTAGTGAAGTCAGAAAAACTTGAATGTCTGGCATCTTCTGCAAACCTGTGTAGATTTCAGCAAACACCCTTGATATCGCTCGTGGATGCATGAGCGCAACAAATAGTATCTGTGTTCTCATAGCTATCATGAAGAAAATCCGAGCTGAAATAAAATATTTATAGTTTCTTATGGCGGACCAGGGTGTAATGAGACAGGTAGCCGTATTTAGACTTTACGTGTGTAAATTGTATGTGGCAACATTTATTTAGTCATGAATGGTTTCGCCGTAGAAACCCCAGTAAGCAGACAAAAAGTTCGAACCAATATTTCGCAAACTGATTGTTCGCTGTACACAATAATTATTTAGCATTCTGCTGCACTGCCTGCGAAATATGCAAGTGGCTAATTGTCACTTGTCATACCACATGTTGGACAACAATATCTTTGCTAATTCACGGCATGTCACCCCGGGAGTGCCAGAAGAACATTACTTAAGTATATCAAATACGCGAGACAAAAATGCTACAAATTGTTTCAATAAAACAACCCACCAGGAGGATGGATGGTGCGCTGCGGATCATTTTCTCAATCGGACATTGGTCAGTATTCCACAACTTCGCTGCGATTTCCGGAAACCTTGGAAACAGAAGGGAGACAAACCTTGGTCAGAAGTACAATGATGCGAGTTGGATCACCCTAGAATTCGGATTTCTTGTCTGACTTTTCAATGATCGAATTGTTTATTCGCTATAAGAAACATAACGTGCATCTTTTTGAAGATGTCCAGTAAGTCATTAATGCGAGCCAGCTTGAAAATGCTCCATGCTAAATCACCGTCTTGATATTGCAGGTAATTTTGGCGTCCAAAGAATCACAATCAATTCTCTCGTAACTGACTTCTACCTAGAAGCTGGATTTTCTATCTTAAACCATATCAAGAATGGATGTCATATACGCTTAAAACACAATACGACTTCCCAGAAACGCTTTGGCTAGTCCAGCCATGGTCGATTTCCCCAAAATTCCAAAAGTGATGCTAATGGCGACAGGTTGTTTAGCAGGAGAACGACCAGAAAAAATTCGACCAGACTATAATCAATACGGATAAATCTGATCGCAAGCTGCGCAGCAATCCTACCAGGGAATCAAGCTCTAAGTGAATAAAAGATGAGGCTAGGTGGTGCCTTACGATGAAGCCAATCCATATAACGCGAAATATGTGAAACATTTTTCACATTTCTACGGACAAACCAAATGCGGTTCTCACAATTACAAGTACCTCATTATGTAACGTGAACCGACGGGCATATGAGAATTGTTGATTTAAACTTTTTCTACGTTGTCCCCAAAATGCCATAGACGGATATCGTATGCATGTGCAGTCATACTTGAAAGCGCAACTTTGGTTCGTCTATACAAAGAACATAAGGCTGAAACAAAAGAATTCTGGAGGAACCCAGTCACCACAATCTGATGTTGATGATCAGTTGGTTGTGGTTGACGGAAAAAAATAACTTCTATGGTCAGATGTCGCATGTGCTCAGACATGTATGCTCATGAATTGGCTTCTACTCGTGGGCAGTTGCGGTGCGCAAGCGCATAGGAATGTGAAATATATCAGGACTTCCTGGAATGGATTTACAATAAGAGTATACGATTTCTGGCGTTGCGTACAATGCTGAAACCTTCAATAGAATGAAGTGGTCAAGGACCAAAGGCCATACGGGAGTGGGCATAGACACCTACATATTTATGTTTGTGCGCCAGTTTTTGGCATATAAACCGGTCACAAAAATAATGCGTAAGATGATACGCAGTATAGATCCTGAAATGGTAGGTAGCAATAAACTTGCATTACTGAAGAAAGTATCTTGTTGAGGGCCCGAAGGAAAATTTGCCAACTTTAATCTCAGAAGCCTGCTGGAGAAGAAATCCCTCTATAATTTTGCGATACCGCTAATGACAACTGAAATAAAACCAAAAGACGAAGGGCCGGAAAAATGCAATTAAGTTTCAGGGATT